GCTGTACTTGGTAAGGCTGTTTCCTCCACATTCAGCAGCCGAAATGTGTGATGGCTTTAGAAGTGGGGTCTCGACACTGAGTTATGACAGTAGCCTGTATTGCTGGGGGGGGTTGAAGGTTCAGACACTCCTTAGAAATTGATTTTTCTCACTGGGAGGTGGTGGCGCATGCCCTTAATCCCAGTACTCAGGAGGCAGAGGTGGGTGGATCTCTGTGGGTTCGAAGCCAGCCTGGTCTAGAGAGCTAGTTCCAGGACAACCAAGGCTACCCAGAGAAACTCTGTCTCGAAAAACAAAAAGAAAGAAATTGATTTTCCTTTCTCTGGAGAATTGCTGGAGTCTTTGAGTAACTTTTTAGTCACTTGCGCCACCTGCTGACCATTTGCGAAGTGGACCGTCGGAACTATTCAGGGTTTTACATATATATGTCTCTTATCCCATTCACCAGAGCAAGAAGAAAATGTGGACCACCTTTTTGTTTATTTGGCTTTGGTTTTGTTTTTAGAGACTTGGTTTCTCTGTGTAGCATTGGATGTCCTGAAATTCCTCAGAATTTCACCTGCCTCTGCCTCCTGAGTACTGGGGTTAAAGGCTTGTGCCACCATGCTGGGCTCCCCCACACCTTTTAAATTGCAACTTTACTTAGGTGTGCTTGATTTTTGATAAGGTGCTCACACTGGCAGGATATAACTTTATGGGTTTTAATATATATGTTCATCAACCAGGCATGATCTCCTAGTTCACAGTCAGCCTGGTACAGAATGAGTTCCAGAACGACCAGAGCAGTTGTAAACTGAGATTATGTCTTGAAAAACAACAACAACAACAAAAGTAAATACGTGCATATATATGTATGTATATATATATATATATACACAACAACAAAAGTAAATACGTGCATATATATGTATGTATATATATACAACAACAACAACAAAAGTAAATACGTGCATATATATGTATGTATATATATACAACAACAAAAGTAAATACGTACATATATATATATATATATATATATATATATCCATGAAATGACTGTCACAGCAAGGTTTTCTCGCCTCTTTCCCTCTCTTTGGCCATCTCTAAGCATCCATTGATATCTCTAAATATGTCAGTTTGCCTCTTTTGTTTTTATATAAATGGAAGAAAATTTAGTGTCCTCCCACCCTGATGTCTTTGTGTAGCCCAGCTGTCAGTGAACACATGATCTTCTCACGTCCTGCGATTATAGACTCGTGCCAACTGGCCAGGTCCTATTTAATTAATTTATGTACTGAGTCTAAGTTGCCCGGGTTGACTTTGGACTTGAGATCCTCCTGCTCCAGCCTTCAGAACAGCTGGCCCGGCTCTCTGCCCAGGTTTTGATGTGTTTGATCCTTGAGTGTTCTTTTTAATCAGTTCCTAGAAGTAGACTGTCTAGATTAATGGTAAATACACACTGTTATTGTCCTTCCATTTTGAAAATGTTTAATTTCATGTGTATAAGTGTTTTATCTGCATGTATATGTGTACTGCATGTATGCAAGGTGCCCACAGAGGCCAGAAGAAGATGCTGGGTCTCATGAAACTGGCGTTATTGACAGCTATATGCTGTCATGTGGGTGCTGGGGACAAAACCAGGTCCTCTGGAAAAGCAACCAGTTCTTAGATAGCTATTTCTCCAGCTCTTTCTTTCCTTTCGTAGCAAAATCTCAGGTAGCCCAGGCTGACCTCATCACTGTGTATGTAACTGAGGATGACTTTGAACTTCTGATTCCCTCTGCCTCAAGATCTTTTCTTTCTTTCTTTCTTTTTTTTTGGGGGGGGGGGGGGGGGGTGGGGGGTTCAAGCCGGGTTTCAAGACAAGGTTTCTCTATGTAACCCTGGCTGTCCTGGAACTCACTCTGTAGACTAGGCTGACCTCGAACTCACAGAGATCCACTTGCCCCTGCCTCCTGAGTGCTGGAATTAGAGGATTACATCACCAAGTCATTTTAAGCAGTGCTAGGGATGAATCTCAGGACTTCATGCTCACTAATAGGCATTCCACCAACTGAACTACATCCCCATTTCCTCTCCTCTTCTTCTTCATCCTCTCCTCTTCTTCTTCCTCTTCCTCTTCCTCCTCCTCCTCCTCCTCCTCATTTCTTCTTCTTCTTCTTCTTCTTCTTCTTCTTCTTCTTCTTCTTCTTCTTCTTCTTCTTCTTCTTCTTCTTCCACCTCTTCCTCTTCCTTCTTCTCTCCCTCTCCCTTTTCCCCTTTCCATCTTTCTCCCTTACCCTCTTCCTTACTCCCTCCCTCCCTCTTCCTCTCCCTCCCTCTCCATTTTCCCCTTTGCTCCTTCTCCCTTACCATCTTCCTTACTCCCCCTCCCACCCCATCATACTATATAGCCCCGGCTGATCTAGATCCCTGTTTACCTATGTGCACAGACTAACTAGTCTATCCTGGAGCTTGTAGTGAGCCTCTTGCCTCTGCTGCTGGCATGCTAGAATTGTAGTTAGATTCCAAGGTGCCAAGAGAGTATACTCACCTTAAAAATACCCACCAAGAGCTGGAGAGAGACAGTTGATAAAATGGTTGTTTGTTATGCAAGCATGGGCTCCTGAATTTTGATTCCCAGAAATTCTCATTTAAAAGGCTGGGCATGGAGTTGGAGAGATGGATCAGCAGTTAAGAGCACTTGCCATTCTTACTTTTCTTATCAAGGAGTTGTGTTTGATTTCTGACACCCACGAGGCACCTCACAAACATCTGTTAACTTCAGCTCCAGGGGATCCAACATCCTCTTCTGACCTCTGAGGGCACCAGACACGCACACAGTGCAAGACATCTATGAAGTAAAAAGAAACAGATAAATAAATAAATAAATAAATCTCAAAACCAAAAGGCTGGGTAGGGAGCACATTCAGACCTCCCCGAGGACAGTGCCATCCCTCCGGCCACGTCAGGAGACTCAGGTCCAGGGACACCCAACCAACCCTGCCCTCACATGCACATACCTGCACAGAGACACACATGCACAGAATTCAAAGTGACAGAAATGAATCTTTTCAAAGGCTAAAGAGGTTCAGCAAGGTTTCTGCTGCTAATATACACTGTGACCAAAAACAACTTAGGAAGGAAGGGGTCTGTTTCAGTCTACAACCCCAGGTCCCGCTCTGCCATGGATGAAAGTCAGAGCAGAAACTCGGGGGGGGGGGCCCTGGAGGCTGGAGCTGATGCCATGAGTAGTTTGTTCAGCCTGATTTCTTATACAACTCAGGAGCACAGCCCAGGGGTGGTGCACATTAATCATATTAATCATTAATCAAGACAATGTCCTACAGGCTTGGGTACAGGCTAACTATTGGAGGCATTTTCTCAACTGAAGATCCTTTTCCCAGATAACTCTAGCTCGTGTTAAGTTGACAGAACAAACAAACAAACACAAAACAGGACACTGGGCAGACACTGGGCACGTACGTGTCGAATCCCAGCACTTGGACAGCAGAGATAGAAGGATCTCTTGTGAGTTCAAGACCAGCCTGGTCTACATAGCAAGACCCTGTCTTAAGGCAAAACAAAACAAAAAACCTGGATATGAAAAAAAGAGTAGGCAGGAGACTTTGAGATGGCTCAGTAAAGGCACTTGACACCAACTGTGATAACCTCAGTTTGATCCCACATCATGGAAGGATAGAATAGACTCCAAAGTGTTCTCTGACCTCCACATGTGGGCTATAACATATGCTTGACACACGTGGCCTTCCCATTAAATAAATAAACATTTGTTCTAAAAGCTGAATTTGGTGCAGTTTGTAGCCCGAGTGCTGGGGAGACAGAGACAGGCGGATCCCCCTGGGGCTTGCTGGCCGGCCAGCCTAGCACTCGGTGAGCTTTAGGCCCACGGGAGATCCTCTCCTGTCTCAAAATTAAAGCAAAGACAAAGCAAAACAGGAAGGACAGCCCCTGGGAAAAGACCCCCAGAGTTACCCCCAGCCTACGAATGCATCCTTCCCCACTGCCAAAATTGATTTTTTTTTTAAAAAAAAACAAAGTTGATGTACCATTTTACATTCCTACCACATCTGGAGCATTCCATATCTTGACAATATTTAGGATGGTCAGACTTTTATGAAATTTTTTAGTTTGTAGTGGTTTTTGTTATGATACAGCCCTGGCTGACCTGGAACTCCCAATGTAGACCAGGCTGGCTTCAAAGCCCTAGAGCCCTGCCCGTCTCTCCCTCCTGTGTGCTGGGGTTGAGGGTGTGGCCCCCACACTTCCTTTTCACTGTCTTCATGGGTGGAAGCCGTAGGCTGATGTAGACGTCGTTCCCACCGGGTTCTCACCTTGTTTTATTTTTTAACTTTAATTTTTAAAGATTTTTTAAAGCTTTATTTTATATTATGGGTATTTTGCCCGCATGCACGACTGTGCACCACTTGCGTGCAGCGCCCCCAGAGGCCGGAGGAAGCACACCTGAGGATAAAGCTGCTCTTTAAGCAAGAGCTCCCGTGCCATTTTAGCAATTTTGTATAAATGGCAGGGTTGGGGGTGCAGCTCAGCGGGTAGCATCCTTGTCTGGCACACACAAAGCCCGAGTTCAGTCCCTAGTACTGGATAAATTGCATGGGGGTGCAGGCTGTTGTCCCCAAACTTAAAGATGGAATCAGGAGCATCAGCCTTGTCCACCACAGCAAGTTCAGGCTCCGCCTACAAGACCCTGGGAAAAAGCAAAACTAAACAAAACGCCATTAAAATGCCCATACTGTCCGTAGATTAAGGTAAAACACTGGGTAAAGTGACACACTAACACATACACACTCACACACTCATGAATACACTTACCCACACACTCA